AGGTGACCGGAAGCGGAAGATGTCCTCCCCCCCCCATAGTCTTTTGGAACACGTGACAGGTCCCAGAAGACTACAGGACCATTCATGACGCACAGAGCATGCACAGTGGGTACCCGGCTGTGAAGCCGCAAGCTGTCATAGCCAGGTGCCCTCACTGAAGATGCCAGCCTCCTGGAATACAGGACGGCCAGTGAAACGAGCTGTGGGGGACACACCGCGGGACCGAGGCACAGGTAAGTGGCTGTTTTTTAAAAGTCAGCAGCTACAGTTTTTGTAGCTGCTGACTTTTATTTTTTGACAGGGTGAGTGGAACTCCGCTTTAAGGAGTACTATGCAACATGCAATAATATAGTTAAAATAAAATTTTTATAAGTCATTACAATAGATTAAAAGCATACAGTATTACCAATATAAAAGAACTGTATTTAAACAGTTTTTAAAGGAATGGCAATAGTAAAAAGAACAATCATCTATACCAGTGGTTCTCAACCTTTCTAATGCCCCGCGACCCCTTAATACAGTTCCTCATGTTGTGGTGACCCCCAACCATAAAATTATTTTTTCGTTGCTACTTCATAACTGTAATTTTGCAGTGGGAGGACTAGCGCCCCATCACTGATGTCAGTGGGATGAATAGTGTCCCACCGTTGGTATCAGTGGGAGGAATAGTGCCCCATCATTGGTGTCAGTGGGAGGAATAGTGTCCCATCATTGGTGTCAGTGGGAGGAATAGTGCCCCATCATTGGTGTCAGTGGGAGGAATAGTGCCCCATCATTGGTGTCAGTGGGAGGAATAGTGCCCCATCATTGGTGTCAGTGGGAGGAATAGTGCTCCATCATTGGTGTCAGTGGGAGGAATAGTGCCCAATCATTGGCGTCAGTGGGAGGAATAGTGCCCAATCATTGGCGTCAGTGGGAGGAATAGTGCCTCATCATTGGCGTCAGTGGGAGGAATAGTGCCCCATCATTGGCGTCAGTGGGAGGAATAGTGTCCCATCATTGGTGTCAGTGGAGGAATAGTGTCCCATCATTGGTGTCAGTGGGAGGAATAGTGTCCCATCATTGGTGTCAGTGGGAGGAATAGTGCCCCATCATTGGTATCAGTGGGAGGAATAGTGCCCCATCATTGGTGTCAGCGGGAGGAATAGTGCCCCATCATTAGTATCAGTGGGAGGAATAGTGCCCCATCATTGGTGTCAGTGGGAGGAATAGTGCCCCATCATTGGTATGAGTGGGAGGAAGGAATAGTGCCCCATCATTGGTATGAGTGGGAGGAATAGTGCCCCATCATTGGTATGAGTGGGAGGAATGGTGCCCCATCATTGGTGTCAGTGGGAGGAATAGTGCCCCATCATTGGTGTCAGTGGGAGGAATAGTGCCCCATCATTGGTGTCAGTGGGAGGAATAGTGCCACATCATTAGTATCAGTGGGAGGAATAGTGCCCCATCATTGGTGTCAGTGGAAGGAATAGTGCCCCATCATTGGTATCAGTGGGAGGAATAGTGCCCCATCATTGGTGTCAGTGGAAGGAATAGTGCCCCATCATTGGTATGAGTGGGAGGAATAGTGCCCCATCATTGGTATCAGTGGGCGGAATAGTGCCCCCATCATTGGTATGAGTGGGAGGAATAGTGCCCCATCATTGGTGTCAGTGGGAGGAATAGTGCCCCATCATTGGTATCAGTGGGAGGAATAGTGCCCCATCATTGGTATCAGTGGGAGGAATAGTGCCCCATCATTGGTTAGTGGGAGGAATAGTGCCCCATCGTTGGTGTCAGTGGGAGGATTAGTGCCCCATCATTGGATTAGTGCCCCCATCGTTGGTGTCAGTGGGGGGAGGAATAGTGCCCCATCGTTGGTGTCAGTGGGGGGAGGAATAGTGCCCCATCGTTGGTGTCAGTGGGGGGAGGAATAGTGCCCCATCGTTGGTGTCAGTGGGGGGAGGAATAGTGCCCCATCGTTGGTGTCAGTGGGGGGAGGAATAGTGCCCCATCGTTGGTGTCAGTGGGGGGAGGAATAGTGCCCCATCGTTGGTGTCAGTGAGGGGAGGAATAGTGCCCCATCGTTGGTGTCAGTGAGGGGAGGAATAGTTCCCCCATCGTTGGTGTCAGTGGGGGGAGGAATAGTGCCCCATCGTTGGTATTAGTGACACAAATGATGGGGCACTATCCCTTCCACTGACACCAATGATACTTACCTTGCTGACCCCTGCTCCAGCCTGGGCTCGCTCTCTCCCTCTCCCATCTACAGCCTGCATACCTGGCTGCAGCAGCAAAATTTGCACTTACCTGTCAGCTGTCTTCCTTCTCTGGCCTCTCTCTTCACTCGTTCCTGCAGCTCCCTCGATCTTCTTCGATCTCCGCGCGCTGCCGCTCGGCTCCTCCTCTCCAAGCTCCACCTTCTCGCCGGTGATTGGCCGCCTGTGTGCCTCTCCTGAGCTACAGTTCCGGTGGCCAATCAGCGGCGAGGAGGCGGTGACAGGGGCAGCATATCATCCCGCCCACACATCGCCGGAGACAGCAGCGGTGTCTCGGTTCCTAAGACCATCGTAAATATCTGTTTTCCGATGGTCTTAGGCGACCCCTGGGAAATGGTCGTTCGACCCCCAAAGGGGTCGCAACCCCCAGGTTGAGAACCGCTGATCTATACTTACCTCCCTGTTGCAGCATTGGTTTGATGCTGCATCTATTTCCCACCATCTCTAAGCTCGAGAATCAAGAGATCACATGACCACTGACTGCTCAGTTCTCAATCTGCTCTGAGCAGAGAATGGTGACTGTCAGTCACTACTCTGTGTGCTGCCCCTCTAGCGTTCATTGGAGTTCCAAGCTTTGGAGGGGGCGGGATCAGCTGGCTCAGGCTGCTGGAGGTACACTGAGAGACTGAGCAAGTTGCCAGTCAAGCATCTGGATGGATCCTGACATTATTGTCAGGATCCTTCCAGAGCCAGGAGCGGCTCTGTGAAGTCTGACGGCAGCAGACTTTAGCCTGCTGTTGGCTGATTCCTGGTCACAAGAGAGCATACTGTAAGTAAGTATACTCCTGTGATTCAGAAGATAAGTATGGCCAAAAGAGCTTTGGCCATACTTCTCTTTTAAACCCTATATTAATTTGGACTTGTGCTTCACCTCTACCTTCCACTGACCAGCTCAGATATGATGATGGTATCATATTCAGTTTACCCTTGTATAGAATATTGTATATCCAGTTATACTGTATCCATTCAGCTGTTGCTGGCAGTCCCCAGACTGCTGACAGCACTAAGTATGTTATTATATCTGGACATGCAATGTTCTCTGTACACATGGTAAAGTGTTACTAAACCCAGGATTCATTATATCTGGTCTCCCACAGCACACAGAACATGGAAGTGCAATTATTTTAGTAAATATAAACTGCTAAATACCTTTTCTCATCAGCAGTTAGAGCAGTCTTGTGACTTCTATCAGTGTCCAGCAGAGTACATGTTAAAGCTTGTAGGAGACGTTTTCATTCTGTTCTAGGAAGATGCAGGGCCCCTGACCTCTGTCTGGACAGTGATGATTAGCCCTGTGCTGATCACATTCACCCTCCCAAGAATAAAAAAAAAACCTCTCTAGCAATACACACGAAACTGAGCATGTGCAGAGTGACTCCACACGATATGGCTTATCAGCAGATTAGAGAGGAACACTGGAAAAAGGGGAGGACCAGAGAGGTCAAGATCAAATAGGTACATAATGCAGAGGATTAACCCCTTAGGTTCCACAGTGAGTATAACAAGCATGCTTTACTGCATATACAGACTGATTTTACTGTTGTTGGTTTAGTAACACTTTAAATTAAGTATGATACTATAGCTGGTCAGTGGAAGGTGGGGGTGAAGCAGAAAAAGGTCTAAAATAAGATAGGGTTTAGAAAATGTGTCAATACAGTTCTTTTTATTGGGGATATTGTATGCTGTATGGTGATGAGTAATCAAAAGTATGTTTTAACTATATTATTGAATGTTGCCTGGTACTGTCCAGCCCTCTAATTTTTTTCATTTGTGGATGTGGTATTGGTAACTGCATCTCACTGCAAGTATCATTATATAATTGCTATCATTAAAAGCCTCTGATGAGGATATCTGCATATGTAAAACCATACAATTTTCATTACTTGACTATAATATGCTTTTCTATAATGTTCCAGGCATTCAGTAACATGACAGTACATCATGTGTTCTCTCTTGCTATACTTTTTTTTTGAGAATGATACATTGATGAGATATTAAAGTGGCTGTAAAGGCTGAATGTTTTTTTTACCTTCAGCCTTTAACAGATATGCAAAACATTATAGTAAAAGCTACTTACTTTGGTAACACAGAACAAAGGCTCCCACAGATCACAGAATGGCAATCTTAGCTGGAATTATGTTAGGTCACGAAACACTATCATACTGTATTCTGATGGGTGACAAAAGAGTTAAAGTGTAAGTCCAGCCAATATGTTTATTCTGAGTTTTGGATAAAGTGAAGATAAAGTTCCATTAAAGAGATTACCACTTATTTGCTGTCAGAGTGACAAAGGTTTCACCAGACAGGAAGTGAGGAGAAATCTGCAACAGCAACATATACAGCGGTAAAAATCTGACAAGTGATATAGTCTTCCCTTACTCTGCTAAAAAAGAAAATTAGTTCTGTCTTTGATACTATGGAGATTTTCCCTCACTTCCTGTCTATTGAAACCATTGTCAGCAAGACAGAAAATGAAGGAAAGTCTTTAACAGAACCCTGGAGAGAATTAAAAATCTGTTATTGGCACTATATCTTTTCTAACTCTATCCAAAGCTAAAAAAAAAACTTACACTTTGACAACTGTTGTTTAGCCCAAGGTTTATGAAAATGCCATAATGAGAGCAAAATAAAACATTTAGTAACAACTTTCATAAACCATGCATTGGCATACCTGTATCTTTATATGGACTAGGCCTACAGTTTGCTTTCATTGCTAAATCATACTATATGAAGTTGACTTACTTTTTATCTTGTTGTGATCAAGATGAAGACGCTCCAGATGACCATTGACAGTTGGCACAGAAGCCAGTTCATTGTATGACAACTGCAAGTCTAACATAGAGGTAATATTAAACACATTTGCTGGCACACCGGAATCAGATAATTTGTTGTAGTTTAATCTAAGAAAAGCTATTTTAGGTATCTTGTTAAAGTAGTTCTTAGGTATAGCCTCAATGTTATTGTTATCTAAATACAATTGTATGGTATTAGTAGGAAGGCCTGTTGGCATTTTCTTGAGTGAATTCTTGGCCACATTCAATTGCATTAGGTTCTTGAGTCCTGTAAGAGCATCAGCTGGAAAGGAACCATCTGTAAGCTTGTTATGATGTAAGTCCAATAGGGTAAGGTTTTCTAAATTCTTAAAAACACTTTCTGGAATCTTTGAAATTTTATTCCTTGCCAAACGAAGTTGCTCCAAAGTGTTTGGCAATGGTGCTGGTATTCCATCTAATTCATTGTCCTCTAGAAATAAGTAAAGTAGGTTCTTCATATTCTTAAATAAATTCTTCTCTATCTTTTTGTTGGTAAGCTTATTTTTGTTCAGATTAATCCATCTTAGTTGAGTAGCATTCACAAATGCTTTCTCATTAAGTGTCTCAATAGCATTACTATGTAGATATAGGTACCAAATTCTCGATGGGATGGGAGGCACTTCTTTCAGACCTTTACTGTCACAATATAAAGCACGTGGGAAGTTAGGTGGACAAAAACATTCTTTGGGACACTCAAAGGCAAGTAAATGAGAAGGCTCCAAATCATAATAGTCATCAGCTTGCGTATTAGAAAAGGTGAAGATGAAAAGCACCAAAAAGTATATAGAAATTCTTAAAATTGCTTGTGTTTCCATTGCCAACCTTAAAGAAAATGATAGGATTATTCAGGGTCACAAGAGAGTGACAGAATATTTCCAGTTATTTAATATACATTTTTCATTTCCAATATCAGGTTACGGCTGTAAAATCCTGTTTAAAGATGGTATTGCATGTAGGCCTTGTGACATTTCTGTCACCCAGCATCATGGGATGTATCAAATATGGGTATACATCAAATCCCATACAGAGGGCCAGATGTTTTAGTGTTTTACATCATATTCAAGCTTAGTTACTAAGAACTAGCTACATCATCTCAGTTAAAATATTTCCATAATCCCAAAAGGCTAACAACACAAAGCTCCTTTTTGTTCTGGATTTCTACAATCTTCTGCAATGTGTAGGTAGTGAAATTAGCCAAATGGGAACACTGAAAACACAGACTGAGTTGTACAAATCAGAGATCTTTTCTCCAATCTATTCATAAAACTTTCAATTCTTTAATATAAAAAGTCATCTGTTTGGGATTACGTATGAATATGTTATGCACTAGCATAAAGGATCAAAGGCCATTTAAACAGCTGCTCCTTTTGTATGCTTCTCAGACCTTGAGAGTTCTGTATGAGAATCCCTGCCCTCAAGCAATTTGAATGCTCTTGCATAAACAAAAAATGTTTAATCATCTCTTTCAACATATTGTTTTAATTGAATTAAATTTTTAATAAAGAAATTGACCATCTCTGCTAGCTTGGTTATTTAAAAATCAAGCTGAACTTTTTTTTTCTACCAAAAAATTAAAGATGTCAAACATTTTAACAGAAGCAATAATAATAATATCTATATGCATATGAACATGCTAAATAACACTATTTTAATCAAAGTTTAAGGAAATGCTTAATAAACGTTTCAGAAAAGTAAGCCAGTACAGAAAATCAAGTTGAAAAACTGCTTTGCTTTTTCAGTGTTAAGTTCCACTGATGTAAGTGATGCTGAGCTCAAAGCCTCTTTGCTAACAAGTGAAAACTGTATAAAGTATGCATAAACTAAGCACACATTATGCACATCTATAAAATATCGCTGAAATACTGTACAAGGCAGCAAATGACAGTTGTACGTATCATTTTACAAGACAAACAGCTACAACTTGGACACTATCCAAAAGCATTAATGCAAAAGTCTAAATAAACTTTGGAGCAACTAATCAACAAAATATCCACAATGAACATGCTCATATTTTTAGAAGAGAATTTAGAATATCATTCATAAAAGAAATGCATATCATTTGTAACATGTTAAAAGATTTATTACCTTTAGCATGCAGATAGTTGTAGTTCTTCCTCACACTATGTGATGCCTGTTTGAATTCACCTTAAAGTGGAAACTCTTGGCTCCTAGCAGATTGTTTTCATCCTGTCCTTAGAGGTTTAACTGCCTATTACATCAACTGAACTCTTCTCCTTAAACTCACAGCCAGTCTCCTATGTTACAATTTAATCACAGCAGTTTGCTCTAGAGCTCATTTTGCTGATGTCTGAGCTTCAAGCTTACCTCTGATTTCCTGAATCCCCAGTTGTTTTGTGTTGCTCCCTGGTCAGACTATGACTGAGGTAAAATGCCTAAGTCTATGAATGCTGCCTGTCTAATATATATGCACCAGTGACTACAACAGTTAACCCATAAAGCATCTTTAGACACTTCAGCACCTAAACACCACAAAGGAGGATACTGCTGGCTCATATAAGTTGCTAGAGGGCACAGTGCTCTAATCTGCATTTTCATTTTGGAAATGCCACAAACAATTTTAGGCATTGTCAACATATTGAGTGGTCATGCATACTTTTTGTTGAACATCATATGCCAAGATGCGCATGACTAGGAGGAGATCATTTGAACTGACCTAAAATTTGACAAATGATATATAATAAATCTAATAGTATTAAAGTTATAGATAGTTGTAGGTGACAAACAGTTTTTGAAATGTGTCAATGTTAATGACATTTTGTATCATTTTAATGAAATCTTAAATATTTTATTTGGCAAAGGCGAAAAGAAGAAAAAAAAAATTACAAAAACAGTTCAGCTTTTCCTGTCTTATCATTGTTTTACAGCAAATATGTACATTTATACATATAGGTTTTGTATGAGTATAGAAATATATTGGGAGTAGAAACTGACAGCAGTAACTGGATTAAAGAAATATATTGGGTGTAGAAATTGACAGGAGTAACTGGATTATAGAAATATATTGCATGAAGAAACTGACAGGAGTAACTGCATTATAGAATTATATTGGGGCTAGAAACTGATGGGAGCATCGAGAGAGACAGAGGAAGACATTTTTCTAAACAGCAAGACAGTCCATCAAAAAATTATAGCTGAATCAAAAGATGAACATTATTTTGTTGTGCACTCATTGCTGATTACCCCTCCTTGTAGAGGCATAGCTGACTGTTTCCATGCTGTGGCATGATGTCTTAAACCACTTCAGAAGTGGTGCATTGGTGTTCAATTAATGGATTTACCCAAATTCTAATTTGACTGGGATTAATCTGATTCCTAGCCACCAATTATTAACTGTGGATCCCTAATCCACCAGGAAGTTCAATCTGGTCAAGTAGTAACCTAGTAAAACAGTTTGATATTAGATAGTCACAGTCAACTGGACTTGCTTTGTATGTTGATGACATTTCCCTATATGTCGAAATGTAATTATAATGAGGTGGATTCACAAACTTTCACACCCTTCTTCATGTTCCTGAACAATCAATAACTGCTTTGACACATTTAATAGTGTTTGGATTAAAGTGACGAGTTACCTGTATGGCTATGAATACTCCTGAAGACGTCCATTTGTGATGACGTTTGATGTCATTCCTGCTTGTTGGAGCAATTGCCTACACCAAGTGAGATACAGGTGTATTTTAAACATTTTAAGAAACAGTATTACGCTATATAGGCTTTTGTTTCCCTTTTAATCATGACACTCACTCCTCATGTGATGGTGTGGACATTTGAGTATCCACAGGACAACAGGGGTTTGCAACACCTGCTGTGGAGCCTGGAATACCTATTAAAGTGGAACTAAACTGCATCTGAACACAAATTACCATAAACTCTATTTAATTCATTTATCATGTTCAAAGCAAATTCCCCCATCCATCCATGTCCCCATGCTTTATTTTACTGACAAATCACTTAAAAAAACACCCTCTGGAAATTCTGGCCGTGGCCATCTTGAGTAAAGGCAGATGATTCATATAGCATTTACTTCCTAGAATCCATCTATCCTTAGCTCAGGCATGCAGGCAGGAGGGTGTGCTTAAATGAGAAAACCCATCCTCCCCTCCTGAAGACTCCTGGGATGTATGACATCATTTATCTAGGAATGAAAACCAGGAAATAACTGAAGGAATGTAAAAAAAAAGTTTAAAACAAGTTAATATGATATATTTTCCTATCTATTTACTAATTCTAGCAGCAAAAGTCAACAAAGAGTCAATGTTGATTGAGAGAATGAAGTTCCACTTTAAGGAGTAACAAGCGTGCATTTTGACCTTCTTTATTATATAAGAGGTCAATGACATCTGGTGAGTACTGGTGGAATTGGGGGCACCATGTGATTACATCAAGATCACAGATGTGTGGTTTGGAACAACACTTATTTGTTTGAAGTGCAGTTTCCATATAGAGCTAAATATTCATTTGGACTTTCATAGCACTTTGCAGAGTACTGTTGAATGCGGATTTCATAAATAGCACTCTCTAAATATGTAGGGATCAACTTTGAACTTGCATATACATAACCTATGTATGTTTATACAATTGCTCAGTGTGCTGACTGGTACTGTTGGTTAAAAAGCACCCAATATTTGGAGACATCTTTGAAGCTGAGATGCACATGATTTAAAATATTGATCCTTATTAGTAGTGCTGCAGTTTTTCATTTATTTTCATGGGATTAAGGTGACTGAGTTACATGTATGGTGATAAATGCTGGAGTTCCTGACATTCTTTAGAACTGAGTAAGCTGCTTGGGTTAGTGGCACAACATCTTAAACATTACAGAACTAGTGCAGTTAAATGTTACTAATCCTCAATTTCTTATACAGGTATTATTCTGCTGCTTATTTGCCCCTTTATTACTGACTAGTTATCCATATCTTTGTAGTAACTTAGGGTATAATAGCACTCACTCACATAACTAACCTAATAAAGAAGTAGGAGTGCATGCTGCTTGACTGAACTAGTGAAAGGTAAAAAGGACCCATGCATGAAAAACCACCTGGGAGAGCAAGTCTCCACTTCTTGGTTGATGATTTGGTAGATGTTTAGATTTTCTGAAATGTGCTCATTTCTAGTTGCCCATGGTACAAGTATTGTCACTGTGGATATTGTTACATTGAACAGGGTTGTCACTGACTGAATATATCAGGGTACAAAAACAAAAGATGCACCTGTATGGGCAAACAAAAACATTCAGTTGGCACACTTTGAGTTCATAAAAGTATCAGGCTTAGATAATATAACATCATGCCATGTACATGTAAATAGAAAAATACAGGGTGTAGGTTTGCCCATAAACTAGAGTATTGACACCTCGAGAGTTAGTACTATTTCTGCTAAGGCCATTAATTTTTCAATGCTCCATGAGAGAGAGAACTAAGTCGTCTACTTTGAATTGGTGACAATGAGAGAATTAATTGTGGGTCTCCTTTGGAATGGTGAATTACTGTTAAAATCAAATATTTGTAATTTGAAAATAATTTCAGATGCAACCTGTGGTGATAAATGTAGCATTGGCTTTATTTTAAAATATAGATATTGCTTCTGGGGTTTGAATTTGCAATTGAGGAATAGAAAATCAAGATTTTGAATAAATGGCAGCGAATGGTGAACATGTGGTTGAATGTTCATGACAAATGTGTTTAAGAAAAGCAGAAAGTCTTCTGACACTGGCAAAAATTATCAATGAAACAATAATTTGTATCTTCATAAATATGCACCTCTGTGTTTTTCAGGGAAGTTTTAAAATAAGATT